TTCAAATGTTTCTATGCCATAAAATGATTATGATCCACAATCTAGGGTAAGATTATCAATTTTCGGCTTCCTTGTGCTAAGACGACACAATAATGAGTCATAAGTAAGGTTCTGATCGAATTGTCTTCATGAAAGTACTCGATCAACAAGAAATTTCAGATTTTCATATAAAGGTAGGAAATTTACGTCCTTGAGACCTTGATTTGGCAGTTGGCTTCAGGCTTCACAGAGGGGAAGGAACATCAAAGTGAAGATAGTCAAGAGGGAGGGAGGAACAGAAGAGTGTTGCAAAGATGTAGGAGACAGACACAAAGGTAGGAAAAAGGTGAGTTGAGAACTGTGAAAGTAGTCCAATAGGACATATAGTGGGGTGATGGCAGTTTGAAGCCAGAAGTCAACTGCCGATTAATAGGCTTTTTTGTCGTATGAGTATACGTTGCCCAGGGTGCAGCACGTGGAGGCAAGTCTATCCCACACCCCTTATCTCTAAAGTAATTATTGCAATGCGATTCCCCTTTTGACAGAAATCAAGAAGATGAAATAGTCAGATTCGTCCGTATTTTGGTAGTCGTTCCAATGTTGTAGCTTCCTCTCATCAAGTTCTAGAAACCAATTAAGAAGCAGCCTTTTTCACTGCTAGATTTAATTAATTTATTTCAGTATTATCAAAGATTGGCGGATTTCGTTTGTAGTTCAGTTGTTTACTCTACTAAAGTACTGGAGTGTTGCATTGTTATGTTAGCCCTACGAGTTAATACCAACGGGCTCGCCTTCTTTTTGCGCACATTTGGATGCATGCGAAAATCTGTATCTTCTCTAACCTTCACGTTCCTGAGTGAAATGCCCAACGCTACCTCCTCTCGGGCTAAGCCAATTTCCTAATTAAAATAATTCATTATTTAGTCATTTATCGATTGCCCCCCTGTTTGAATACCTCTTGGTTATTTGAAACTTGGCCTAAAATCTGCCTAGATTTACACCTATTTTATCCGGTCATTGCCTTCCCTCATAATTCCTTTGATATACATAGTCTATCGGCATCCCTATTGTTCCTATCTCCTCGGTTTAGCGCATTTTCTTTGTGTTCTACGTTGATTATTAGATTATGTTATCAAAAACTGTCAAGTACTGTTTCACCGCATGAATTGACCTTGAGGTCAATTTCACTAACCGCTTTCTCACAACTCTGTGGTAAAGTGCTAATGGTGTTAACAATTGCTTCTATCAAGCTTCTTTAAATAATATATGACTCTAAGCAGCGTTGAGTTAACTTTTCACTTATTCTGAATAGGCTTCGTATCAGATGTAAAACTCCAGAAAGATTTCAACAACTCAAACCTTGAGCCTAAAATCAGTTTCTTATGACCTGACCTTTTGCACCGACTCTCCATCTTAAAAAAAACAAACACAATGTCGACAATATTAAAGGCAGTTCTCACATTTGCCAAAAATGCGCGGCCCCATCTAGGAGAAACGCAAGAGCTTTCAAATTTGATTTTGCCTATAGTATCGAAGCCATCATGCATTTGCAGCAATGGCGAATACCAACATCGGACTCATCCGAGTGAAATGGATAAACAAAGCGAAACGACTCAAAAATTAAAACTGAGGGCCATTTTGCTTACTATACCCAATAGCTATTGTTTGCATTAGGCCTCAATAGATCAGCCATTTTTATACAATCTAATCTAGCAACCTTCGAGTACCCACATTCCAACACTGATTGAAAGCCTACAATTTATTCCTTAAACCCGGGGTGTGCAATAGACTTACCTCCACGTGGTGCACCCTGGGCAACGTATACTCATACGGCCATACGGCAAAAAAAGTCTATTAACTGGCAGTTGACTTCTTAAAAAAGTCTATTATTCGGCAGTTGACTTCTGACTTCAAAGCGGCAAAAAAGTCTATAAACCGGCAGTTGACTTCTCACTATCGGCAAAAAAATTCTATTAACCGGCAGTTGACTTCTGACTTCAACGCAAAAAGGTCTATTAACTGGCAGTTGACTTCTCACTTCACAAAAAAGTCTATTAACCGGCAGTTGACTTCTGACTACTCAAACGGCAAAAAAGTCTATAAACCGGCAGTTGACTTCTGACTGAAAAGGTCTATTAACTGGCAGTTGACTTCTGACTTCAAATAAAAGTCTATCAATCGGCAGTTGACTTCTCACTTCAAACTAAAGTCTATTACCTGGCAGTTGACTTCAAACTACCATGACAAGTCTATTAATCGGCAGTTGACTTCTGACTTCAATTACCATCAAGTCTATCAACCGGCAGTTGACTTCTGACTTCAAACTACAATGAGCCGACTATTGCCCCATCCACAGAACTCATCTTACCTTTTTTATGCATTTATGTCTTTCTGTCTCACTTCAAACTACTATGGCCCGACTATTTGTCATATTCGACCCCGTTCACAGTACTCATCTTACCCTTTTTATGCCTTTGTGTCTGTCTGTCTGTCTCTTTTAAAGTAATCAGCCCGACTGCTTGTCATATTCAACCCCTTCAACAGCACTCGCCCCACTGTATGTCATATTCGACTACTTCCACAGTACTCGCTGACTCCATGTCATATTCGATCATTTTCACAGTACTCACACAAACCGGCAGTTGACTTCTGACTTCAAACTACCATGACCAGATCTATTAACTGGCAGTTGACTTCTCTATGTCATATTCGAAGTCTATAAACCGGCAGTTGACTTCAAACTATCGGCAAAAAAATTCTATTAACCGGCAGTTGACTTCTGACTTCAACGCAAAAAGGTCTATTAACTGGCAGTTGACTTCTCACTTCACAAAAAAGTCTATTAACCGGCAGTTGACTTCTGACTACTCAAACGGCAAAAAAGTCTATAAACCGGCAGTTGACTTCTGACTGAAAAGGTCTATTAACTGGCAGTTGACTTCTGACTTCAAATAAAAGTCTATCAATCGGCAGTTGACTTCTCACTTCAAACTAAAGTCTATTACCTGGCAGTTGACTTCAAACTACCATGAGTAAGTCTATTAACTGGCAGTTGACTTCTGAGTTCAAACTATCATGACCCCAAGTCTATTAATCGGCAGTTGACTTCTGACTTCAATTACCATCAAGTCTATCAACCGGCAGTTGACTTCTGACTTCAAACTACGTCTATCAACCGGCAGTTGACTTCTCACTTCAAACTACCAATCAGCCCGACTGCTTGTCATATTCAACCCCTTCAACAGCACTCGCCCCACTGTATGTCATATTCGACTACTTCCACAGTACTCGCTGACTCCATGTCATATTCGATCATTTTCACAGTACTCACACAAACCGGCAGTTGACTTCTGACTTCAAACTACCATGACCCCCTGGGTAACGTATACTCATACGGCAAAATCTATTTGTGCGCCCTGGGCAACGTATACTCATATGGCAAAAAAGTCTATTACCTACGCCCTGGGCAACGTATACTCATACGGCAAAAAGTCTATTAATTGGCAGTTGACTTCTGACTTCAAGCTACCGTGACCTCACTGTATGGCATATTCGACCACTTCCACTGTGCGGCAAAAAAGTCTATAAACCGGCAGTTGACTTCTCACTATCGGCAAAAAAATTCTATTAACCGGCAGTTGACTTCTGACTTCAACGCAAAAAGGTCTATTAACTGGCAGTTGACTTCTCACTTCACAAAAAAGTCTATTAACCGGCAGTTGACTTCTGACTACTCAAACGGCAAAAAAGTCTATAAACCGGCAGTTGACTTCTGACTGAAAAGGTCTATTAACTGGCAGTTGACTTCTGACTTCAAATAAAAGTCTATCAATCGGCAGTTGACTTCTCACTTCAAACTAAAGTCTATTACCTGGCAGTTGACTTCAAACTACCATGACAAGTCTATTAACTGGCAGTTGACTTCTCACTTCAAACTAACAAGTCTATCAACCGGCAGTTGACTTCTGACTTCAAACTACAATGAGCCGACTATTGCCCCATCCACAGAACTCATCTTACCTTTTTTATGCATTTATGTCTTTCTGTCTCACTTCAAACTACTATGGCCCGACTATTTGTCATATTCGACCCCGTTCACAGTACTCATCTTACCCTTTTTATGCCTTTGTGTCTGTCTGTCTGTCTCTTTTAAAGTAATCGCCCTACTGCTTGCCCTACACATCTTACCTTTTTCTCTACCTTTGTGTCTATCTGCCTCTCTTACATCTGTGAATCGCTCTTCTGTACCCCATCCCCCCGACTTCTACTTTGATGAACCTTCCCTCTGTGAAGCCTGAAGTCAGCTAAATGGCTAATGATAGCTATCAAAACACCTGCCATTTGAAATAACTAAATAAATTTCTTAAACCCGAATTATGAATCATTCATGCATCTATTACTATCTCAATTCAATACGAATTCCTAGATGCCGAAACGTCAATCATGCACGAACTTCAAGAGGAAATCCTCAGGACATCCAAGCCCTTGCTAAAAATACTCGACTATGCCATCGAACTAGACTGGTAAGTATAAGGCAAAAGTAAAATAAACTTTCTAGTATTTGTGCCTTGGCCACGGCGGCCATAAAAATGAATGGAGTGAGACCGAGATTTATAGAAGGAAATGTCATAAAAATCAAGAAAGGAAGACATATCCTTTTTGAAACTCTTCATCCAAACTACAAGACAAATTCATTCGTTTCGCCTTCGGATAAGGGTAATATAACATTAATTACCGGACCCAACGCTAGCGGAAAAACCATGTACATCAAGCAGGTAAATAATTATTTTAAAGTACAACTTCCCTTCAGATCGGCCTAATCGTATACCTAGCTCATATAGGTAGTTTCGTGCCGGCAGATTATGCAGCCATATCTCTTGTGGACAAAATTCTTGCCCAAATGCCCGCAGACATTGCTCAACAAAAGGAACAGGAACCGATCGCAGATGCAAGTTGGCTCGCAATGGTACTGAGGCACACCAGCAAAAACTCCCTTTTACTTCTGGATGAATTCCCCTACATAAACGATCGAAATGGGCGAAAGGCAATGTTTTTAGGACTCCTTGAGCATCTAAGCCAAAAGGAATCACCCACGGTTTTAATAACCGGCCTAAACATAAGTTGGGCTAAACAATTTCTTGAGCCATTGGCCCACAAAATAAACCTCAAGAAAATACGCGTATCAAATGATGCGCAAGGACCTATTTTCCTACATGAAGTAACAAACGGGATAACGGAAACTAATTACGCTCTAAGTGTTGCTAAAAACGCAGGAATACCCTCCGAAGTAATCGAAAATGCAACCAAGGTAGATAGACCCTATTCCTCACCCCCTCCCATTCTAGAATACATACAAGCCCTTAACTGAACGAGAAACGAGACAAATAGCAAGGTAAAAACTACAATTAAATATATTTTTATATATACAATTACACAGGCGCAGAAAGCTCATAAAAAATCTAGTTGGAATGGACCTTCGTGACTACACTAATGAGGCCAAGGCATTTTTCATACAATCTCTTCAAATATAATATACAAATGTACACGTGAACAAGTTTTTCGTCTTATTTGAAAAGACTGTGAGTAAGGGCTACTTGGGGGGTTATACGCTTTTTTGGAACGTATCGTAACATAGCCTTGATAAGATCATAAGCAGCACTTGTAAGGAGATCTTGAGTAGAAAGCCAGATATCACCTAGGAAACGCACATTTTTCCGAACATAGCGACCAGCTGAGCTGTCCTCGTCCCAATCTAAACGACCATGGCGGAAATACCTCCGCCTTCGACTTTCATCTACCATTTCACGAGGGAGAGGGCCAATAAATCTTTGCATCATCGCCAAGTGCTCAAGGTTGTCATGGGTCATGAACAGACACTGACCCGTAAGTACTTCATAAATTATACAACCGACTGACCAAATATCAGCAGGGTATGACCATCCAATTTCGAGAATAACTTCAGGAGCTCGATAGTGACGGGTCTGAATAGTTTTGGAATGTCTTTCTTTTGCCGTCACAGCCGATCCAAAATCAATAACCTTGATCTGGGGATCCTTAACAAGTCGAATCGTTCCATCCCGAGTCGTAGAAGGCACCTCGATAAACTCATGGGAAGTAAACATAATGTTCTCTGGCTTTAAATCTGTGTGACAAATACCCAATTTTTGCATAAATCCCACAGCCTCACAAAGTTGACGGGATATAGAGATGACATAATCCATGGGATAGGGCTCATAATCATTCTGCTCAAGAAGGTTAAACACACTAGTACTCAAGAGAGGAAAGATTATAAAGTACTGACAATGCCATTCAAAAAAATCAACCGCATGAATGCAATTGGAACCATTATAAGTACCAGACTTAGCGATCAGATTAAGGATATCCGCTTCATGTTTTGCCGCTTCTTGATAATCTTCTAGCCTCTTTAATGCCTTAACTGCCACCTGTGAGTGAGTGGATATATCAAAACACTCGAGAACCTGTCCGAAACTCCCCTCGCCTAGGACCTTACGCACCTCGAACCGATGTTTGATCATCTTCCCGAGAGGAATGACTGGGGATTCTTTGTCACGTTTGTGATGGTGATCGTGGCTCGCTTTCTGTTTGACCCTCTCCTTGCTTCGACGCTGTCGCTTACGCCTGTGACTGGAATGAGTTGGGGAGCCATAATGATGCCTTTTTTGACTGTGTTCATGATGCCTCTTACTCGATCTTGGACCATCACCGTTATGGAAAGGGGGACTCGAATGTTTCCCTTCGGGGAGGTGACTGTCCTTGCCATTTCTAATCGTTGAACCAGGAGGTCGAGACTTACGGTAGGATAAAGCGGGCGAGCTACGTTTGTGCCTGTACCAACAGGGACAAAAACCACAATAATTGAGAAAAAAGAAAAAAATGCTACGAACAAAACGATGAGAAAGTCTCAAACCCCATGGATGTACCACCTACAACTTGATAACTACAGGCACCAGCTAACAATTAGGAAAAAAGCAATAAAGCTGATTATTAATAAAAATATATTGAGGCAATGCGGAGGGACAAAATAATACCTTCGGTCAACATTTTCAAGAAAAGGTTTCTTTGATTGGGAACATCCATAACCAGAAGAATATTTTTTTGATCCCACGGAGTGCCGCCTTTTTCCGTTAGATATACGAGAAGAGAAGCGAGAAGCAGACTTTGAAGATTCTGTTGTTTCCGCGGTCGGTCCATTTCTATAGCGCGCATCATAACAACAACGGTGATTACTATTCGAACGGCAACGCTCTTCAACCATCATAGCGCAAATATGGCGAAATCGAAAATCTTCGTTACAAACTAAAACAAGAATCAAATTCTTAAAAACACAGGTACGTAATTCTATATATTACCTACATTTAATTGTTTTTATAATTTATAAAAAACATTGCATTGTCTAAAAACCGATGACACTTTATTTAAACTGTTATTAAATAAAACCAGAATGTATAATAAGTAGTAAAATGCAAATAAGCCTAGCTTTTCATATTAGCATTTTTGCTTCAATCTAATTTTGTATATTCCTTTATTTAATTTATTATATTTCACACCTCACTGCAATAATATAATAATAGATCTTTTTTAAAGGAAATAAGGTATCGAAGTATGGGATATATATATATATAAATCTATATTAATCAAGAAATGTTCCTATTTCCATCGCTTTCAAAACTTGTACTGAGTTGCTTCTGCTCAAATTCTGATTTGTAATGTTCTATCTATTATGGAAACTGGATAAACCTCTTAAGTACAGAATTAATGATTCAAAAAATTTAAGGTTGGAAAATGAGATGCTCAAGTGCCCTTTGCTTGGTTCAACTATCGTTTTTAGAAATACGCACCCCTTTCAAAATAATGTAGTTGCCGATTTCACAATTCCCTATTTTGAATACATTTTCTGCTTATTATAATTGCTTAACTAGCAAATTGGATTATTAAGTTTTTTCTTAATTCTTTCCTGTGAATGCATTTACTTCCAAGTAATTACATTTTTCCAAGATCAAATGTCTAAGTGGAAATGATTGAAATCAAAGAATTATCTAGGGCTATTATAAGTTTAAAGTTTGTGTGCGTTTGAAGTCTAACAGAACTAAACAACATGAAGAATAAAATGTAAAATCTTTCTTAAAATGTCTAAGAGCTTCTAACCTATACTGCCCAATGTCAAATAGTACTGTGATATCACGAACCAATATATTTCTCTATTGTTATATGTAAAGCTATAGGAAAATAGTTTTCTGCGTTTAGTAAAGATTTCTACTGAACTTTCCAACGTTGTTATTAGTGTTCATTATAATAAAAATTTTAAGTAGTCAATATTACAAATTGATTTCTCATATAGGTAACCAGATATTTAATTTCTTCGTCGTAGACATAATCTAACGTCTGTCCTGTTTAAGTTTGTAGCGAAGAGATTTATGCTCAGTAGTCTGGGGGTGTGCGATAGACCTACCTCTACGTGGTGCACCCTGGGCAACGTATACTCATACGGTAAAAAGTCTATTAACCGGCACTTGACTTCTGACTTCAAACTACCATCACTCCACTGTATATCACATTCGACTACTTTCGCAGTACCCAGTTCACCTT